TGGCATCCCCCTGCCATCGCCTGGAACCGGGCGCCGGCCCGCGCCAACCCTCGACCTCCCCCGGAACGCCGCTCGGCTCCTGCACACCGTTTGCTAATTAAATCCCGCTAATGAGAAAATCAGGATGCAGGAGCTGCTGAGCGCCGCCGCCTCCTGCGCACGCACTCCTCCCGGACTTATCACTAGTCACAGGATGTTTACAATAATTTTTAATTTGCGCAATTATTAATCATTTTTCTATCTGCCTAATTTGCATAATAATTACTCTGCTCGGTGTTTGCCATGACTGTGAATGACAGTGTTTTAAATTAAATTAAGATTTTAATATTCATTTTTTTTGGTTAAAGCTAATCAAAGTTGCCGCTCGGTGCCAAGACCGGGGCTGCTGCCCTTCCAGAAACACTAATAAAGAGATCCGCTTCCCGGTGTCACTCGCTTTATCTCCATCGCCCCTCTCATCCCAGAGGATCCCACAGCATTTTCCAACTGCTCTGCTGCCAGAACCGCTCACACGTGGCCGCATCTGGGACAGGAGAGCCGTGACGACGCAGGATGCAAACCAAGGGCACCGGGACGAACCTGCCTCCCGGCCGGCTCACGGGGATGGGATCGGAGAGGGAGGCGTGCGAGGGACTGCTCTGACCTCAGGCTGGGTCCAACCATCCCAGCTATCCCACAGGGCAGCCACCTGCTGTCTCCACCGCCCCGCAAGAGCAGCACGCTCACCTGAGCAGGGCGGGCAGGAACGTGCCAGCATCTACCCAGGGCCACAGCCTTCCACAGCCAGGTGAATTCCACAATTGCACAGTATTTTCTTTTTTTTACATCTCCAGAAGCACTCAGGTAAGCGAGACCAAAAATTGAGTACGTGTCAAACGCAACTCCGCTCTTCAAGGCTGCAGCTGCCTAAGTTACAGGAAAAAAGCAATAGGACGCTGGTGCCAGCGGGACTGCCAGCGCAGTCGGGGCCCAGCACGTCCCCACTCGTGGCCCGGACGGTTGCCAACAGACCCCCAAAAAGATGTTGGCACAACACAGATAAGTTTGGCAGAGGCACCTCTTGCCAGCAGGCTGGCAGCTCTTTACCCTCCTCGTCCCTGCCCTGGACAAACCACCACCAGGCCAAAGGAAGTAAAAAAGGTGGCTGTTATTTACAAGTGTACACACAGGCTCCAGGATACTAGAAACGTAACACAGTGAAGAAAAACCAGGAAGGAAGGAAGCCCCCAGACCTTCCCACACCCAGAGAAGACTTTGTGGTGCTCCTGCTCGCCTGCAGCCCTCCCAGCGCTTGAGAACGGCCGCGAGGAGCAGCCCCTGACCCTGCTGAAGACACGGCATCTCCAGGGAAACTGCCGGCTGCATTTCATGCGTGCACCCCAGGATGCCAAGGAGAACATTTACTGCCACTGGTGCCTTCTCCCAGGCACGGGTTACGGGACGCTCTGCCTGGCCTCCAGCTCCAAGCCCAACAAATCTCATCACCGGAGAGGGGTCCCGCTGATGCCAGCCCCGGGCGGCAGCGCCAGGGAAGCGCCAAGCTACCGGCACCGCTGTGCGGGCAGAAGGCCAGGGGGACCGATCCCCGACCGTGAGCATCAGGGGAAGCAATTCAAACACCCTCCGTGTGCCGATTTCCACAGGAAACTGAGCCTCAAAGAGCTGCCTGGGCTTCGGGAGGTTCGGCTGCCCAAGACAGCGCGGCAGGGTGGTCTCCAAGCCTCCCGAGAGACAGAGCCAGAGCGCGACACAGGGAGAGCTTCCCACCCAGCCAGGGCTCCGGGCAGAGCTCCGCCGAGGCGGAGACTCCATGAACTAGAGGGGACGGGAACTGCGCCAGCTTTGGAGGAGCCCTTTGGGTGCACCAGGAAGGACACAGGGCAGATCTGATGGGAGCCCAGAGGCAAAGCAGCTCACAGTACTGAGGAGTTTTAGTGAATAGTTGCTCTCTGGAAGGACTCGAACACAACTGAAACCGCAACAGAGCTCTGGAGCAGACGGACCTATTGGAAGAGGTCAATTCTCCAGTGAGCAAGGGTTCACCATCCTTTCACCATGAATAGAGACCTGAGATTTAGGACACAGCATTTGGCATAAAACAATTAAGCACAGAGTTTCTACAGTTTGTTAGAAGACAAAGGGGCCAGAAACCAACATCTGCAGCGCCTCATTGCGAGGAGCACCAGGGCCGAGGCACTCCTGTGGGCAGCAGCCACTGTGCCCAACACCGGTGACGGGGCTTGGTCCAGGCAGAGCACGCCGTTCCTCACAGCTCGGGCGGTGGCAGTAGGTGAATCCCTGCAGTGTTGACCGAGGAACGCCACGCTTCAGATGGCTCTTCGTCTTCTCTACATGTCCTCAACACTCCACTTGTAGGCAAGCTCCTGCACCGCCTTCTTGTTGGCTATCCTGGCAAAGTACTGCTGCTCGAACCCGTTGGACCTGCAAAGCGATGCCGAGAAGACCATAGGCTGCTGCGCAGAAGCTTTTCTGAAGCAACGAAACTTTTTAGAAACGTTGTGGGTTTTCCACCACTTTTACTCTGGCTCAGTTTCCATCTTGACCTGTGGTTAGCTACAAAGAGCATCTCTGCAGCTTTCACACCCTTGCTGCCAGCACCAGCCTTGCTCCCTTCCGTCCCAACGAGTACGTGTTCATCGCCTGTTTGTAACCTAACACGTTCACAGAACCTTACTACTGCCAACAATCTCGTGCATCCAATAACTGGGAATCTTTACACCACGAATTCTTTGAAGCAAAAGCTCATTTTTTTGAGTACCATGCTACCACATGACTGTGTCAGGAACACGTACCTGTCCACACCATCCCAGCGATGCCCAGGCCATATATTGAACCTGTTGAGTGGAGGTGCTGGTCCCTTGTACCGAGGTTTTTCTGGAAACAGAAAGAGCGAGACAGCCATCTGCTACGTCAGCGCAATCGTGCGGTCACACCGTCACCGCGCCGAGAGGATACACAGGCTCGGCGCGACAGCCAGCTCCAGCTCCCAGAGACACACTTTTTTAGGTCCCAGGATACTGCTCTCTAAGCTAACAAACAGCAGCAACGGCTACTGGCAATGAGCCAGCAGTAGCCAACAGTGCTAGCACGCCGACTCCGGAGCGGCAGTCCTTTTGGACCAGGACCAGGCTGCTCTGGCAGTCTGAGGCTATTTAACAGCAGCTGCACATCTATGATGCTGGGGCCTTGAACCGTACGCTGAGGTAACGGCATCCAAACCTTTCTTTTCTTTGTTCTCCTTGGCCTTCCTTCTTTTGATGAAGTCAGCCATGGGGTCTCCTTCTCTCTCTTGCTCCCGCAGCATTCGATCCAGATCCTGATCATCGATGTAACGGGCCAACGGCTTCTGCATCTCTTTTATCGCGTCCTCCACGTTCTGCTGCTGCTGCCTGCCCTGCGCCAGCCTGCAAACACACACAGAGTGCTGCTCCCAAACCAAGCCGCCGTTCGCTGTGACTCGCTCAGTCTGCGGGATGGATCATTCCTGAACTTCCAGCAGCATCGCCAGCGCAGCGCCAGCGACGGAAGGGACAACGGAAGGGACCTCTGCGCTGCGGAACACGTGCGCTCCTGTGGTCCCAGGCTGAAGCTCAGAACAAGGTGACACACCACCGGCACCACGGCTGGAAGCAGCGCCGAAGCGAGGCTAAAGAGCAGGGAGCGAGGGGACCGAAGAGCATGCTGCGGAGCTCGGGAGAGCCTTACCCTCTTCCCCATTTGGCGTACTGCTCGTCTCTCTCCGACCTGGCTTCATCCTTCTGCCTCTGCTCCAGCCGCTCCTGTGCCAGGTCCCTCTTGCGCCCCGACTTGTCTCGGAAGACGGTCTCGGAGTGCCGGGATTCCTCTGGAGGGGGCAGATGCCTCCAGTCACGCCTTTTGGAACATTTAGCAGCCTCCAGACAACTCAACGACTAACTGTGACTTGTTTCAACGTTTCACTTTCACTTGCTCTAGCCTCTGAAAGACCTAATTGTCCGAAACCAGGCGGGATCACAGCTCTTGCTTTTAGCTGCTGCCCCACACAGCTAGGCTTGTACCCTGGATTCTTGGAATACCAGTCTGCTTCACCAGACTTGCAGCTGGGGCAGACAGAGAAAAAAAACTCTCACTCTCCCTATAGCTTCACTGGCACTGCTTTGAAATCACCACTTATAAATCTTTTCATTTCAGAGGCTCGGTGACCCTACCCAAGGAATCCATCAGCATGTCTAGATGCTGCTCCACAGGGATGCTCTCCATCAGCACCCTAACACCAGGGCCTGACACAGCACCCAGAGCCAGCTGAAGGCACAGAAAGAGAAACTGAGCTGGTGCTCGCATGGTGTTTTCACACCCCTACCTTCCAAGCGCTTGTTACTTCTCTCAAGCCTCCTGAGCTCCTGCTGTTCCCTTCGCAGCACATCCGCTGACACCAGGCCAGCTTTGACTCCGGATAACATCGCGTTTGCCTGCGAATCAAACAAAAATCACACTTACTGAGAGCTGTCGGCGATCCAGACGCAGAACGAGGGGACGGCCCAAGTCAACAGTGCCGTGCCAGCAAAGATGCCCAAGTTCCAAAGCCACTCCGCTGGCATCCTGGCGAGAAACATCCCCAGACCTCTGGAAAGAGAGCGGACTGCGGCAGAGCTCCGCTCACCCCTCCCTCATTGCCAGCAGAGGGTCTGGCATGGCTGCACACGTGAGGTACATGAAATTTCTCCTCCTCACTTTGTAAACCATTGGACTTTCAGAGTTTTCTATCAGCAGCGAGTAATCTGCTGCTTGAACGGAAAGACGAAACGTTTACCTTCTTCGGAGATCCCTTGGCGTCACAGTGGCGAGAGGGGGAGAGGTCAGGGGGACTCCGCGAGCCGCGCCGATCCTTTCTGGCTGGCAGGGTCCGTCGTGGAGGAGACAAATCAGAGTCTGAAGATCTGCTCTGGTTCTGTCTGAGAGAAGCCCGCTTCGGGGAGTCGCTGCGTACGCTGCCTGGCCTGCGGTCTGCGTCAGAGGTGCTCCGGGCACCCCTCCGTGGAGATGGTGAGCCAGAGTCCTGCCTCGGGCACCTCTGAGGTGAGGGCACCTGCCTCAGCTTTTTCGTGGCTGGAGAAGCACCTGCAGTGGAAACATACACTAACTAAAACCCACAGAATTAGAATTAGTCCCACCAGGGGGCTAAACACGTGAGGTTAACTACTCAAAAAACGAAGACCTTAGGAGGTGACAGGGAAAGGACAAGCTTGTGACAAGAGTTGTGGAATCTTTTCCTTCTGAACAGGTACTGCCTGGAGGCAGGGTTTAAACTCCGTTCTCCTTTTGGACACATTCAAGCCTTAGACAGCTAACTCTTAGGTTAACCCTAGCCCAGCTGATGAAAAAACAGGATTACAGGAGCTAGTGGTACCAACAGAAACGACAACCTGTCCACTACTTTCCATGACTGCAGACTGCCAGTTCCACACCGCTCACCCCTCGGGAGCGTGCAGACGTGATCCCAGAGCGGGCAGCCAGCAAAGCACAGGAGACAGAACACGCTCTAAACACCCACCCACCTTTTGTTCTGCTTGGCTTGTTCACACTCGGTGACCCAGCCCTCCTCCTCCGAGGTGGGGACGAATCTGGGTCGGAATCGTGTCTCTTCTTCCGCGGAGGGGACGGATCCGGAGTAGCCTGATGCTTCCGATGCGCCGAGGGCTTGTCGGAGACACCGTGCCCGAGTCGAGATCGCTCTCCTTGGACTGCCCCCGGCTGGGGCTTGTCTGTGGTTCTGCAGCCCTTTTTGCTCATGGCTGAACTGACTCTCTTTGGAGAGACGTCCGGGGAGTCGTGACGCTGCCGCCTGGGAGGCGACAGGTCCGGAGAGTCATGACGCTTCCGCCTGGGAGGCGACAGGTCCGGAGAGTCGTGACGCTGTCGCCTGGGAGGCGACAGGTCCGGAGAGTCGTGACGCTGCCGCCTGGGAGGGGCCAGGTCCGGAGAGTCGTGAGACTGCCGCCTGGGAGGCGACAGGTCCGGAGAGTCGTGACGCTGCCGCCTGGGAGGTGCCAGGTCCGGAGAGTCGTGACGCTGTCGCCTGGGAGGCGACAGGTCCGGAGAGTCGTGACGCTGTCGCCTGGGAGGTGCCAGGTCCGAGGAGTCATGACACTTCCGCCTGGGAGGCGACAGGTCCGGGGAGTCGTGACGCTGTTGGCCTGGAGGTGGTTTGTCCGGAGAGTCGTGCCGCAGTCTCCGTGGTGGCGAGCTGTCCGGGGAGTCGTGGCGCTGTCGCCTGGGAGGGCAGAAGAAGGTGAAAAGGGGAAATAGGTTTTTGTTTGTTTTGCTGTCTCCAGACTGGAAACAAAACCCCAGCGGGACCTGTAAAGCTAGCGGCAAGGATCCAGGATGGAAATAACTTTCTGAACGTGAATTCGTACTTGATTCTGCACCCCTGTGTAGTGACCTGCATCACTGAGTCACAGACTTCCCAAAGTAGATCCCAGAAAAGCTGAAGTTCGAAAGTCTGCAGGGACCCTTGCGACACTGAGACTACAAAACCCGTTTTGTGCCCTTGTACAATCATTTTCTCACAAGGAAACGCCCCATCAGGCTCTCTCAGACAGCCTGGACGCTGTGCGACCATGAGACACCCCATGGATGCTTTCAGAAGAGAGGCAGGTGGTAACACCCCCATCCTCACCACACCCAGATCTACAGCACGTCATCGCTCAGGCTTCTCTGACGCCATCAGAGGACTGTGGGACAGCTGTTTGCGCATCACGCAGAGGCCAAGACAGCACGTTGCCTGCCAGTTCCACCCCCTCGCTCCCCAGGCAGAGGTCACTGCACAGCAGGAAAGGAATCCCTGCGCATCCCACCTCTCACGTTCCACTGCACAGCGCTCAGAAACGGCGGAACAAGGCAGACACCACCACAAAACGAGAGTTAACTGATACTACCTCACGGCGGGTTTGGCAGGTACCGAAACATCCGAACTTTGCGAGTCTTCGTTCTGGTCTAAAGAAAAACAATCAGAAAGTGACCATCATTATGGTTCCCCACGGTTTATGATCTCTTCAGCATTTCAAGGATTTTTTAGGGGACTTTTTAGCTGATGTTGTTTTTAACTTGCAACATCGTTGTTTAGAGCTGTTAAATGCTCAGGGAGAGCGGGCGGGAAGGCCTGGTCTCACCTCCCAACAGCTTCCATTTCGTATTTGTTCTGAACTCCTCCATCAGCTTCACCTCATCCGGACGCTCGTCAATGAATTCCGCCACCTGAAGGTGAAACACCGGAGCAAACGGCACAGCTTTGAAGAACGACATGACTTTTACCCTCCGGCACGAACAATTAGGTGTAACTGCACTGACGGGCAACCGACGGGCAACCTTCCTACAGGCGGATCCCAAAGCAGCTTCCCAAAGCCTTCACCTTCGCTGCCAACCCTTCCAGCCCGGCACCCCAGCGACCAGTTACCTTGTGCCTCGTCCTCAGCAGCTGCTCTATCGCCTCGCGAGCGCCATGCCGGCCCTGCCGCCCGCTTTCGGCGCTTGTGGGAGCACCAGCACGTAGAGAAGGGGCTACTTCTGTCGGCGGGGGGG